GGGCCAATAGGCCTAAATGGATCCCCTAGAGATCGTCGATATAACCTAACCTAAAGCAGTCAATAGAATATACACACTTCTAAAAAGAATTTTGGAATTATATCTCCTCAAGAGAGTACATACTCGGTGATTGTTGCGAAGAACGTAAGTTTAGATATAATGGGAACTATTGGAATATTAATATTTCCTACTAATCTGTACTTATTGTCATCCCACTAACTCTATCCCGTCTTCATTTTTAATTCCAATAAAGACGAATTTTGTTCTATACAAATTTTCAAGATTCGGTGTTGTCTATGTAGGAAATTTGTTTCCTGTTTGGGGAAAGTGCATTCTATAAGTCGAATTTTTGTTTTAAGTATAAATGCATTTTGCTGTTAAGGGAAGTCCCTTTTTCCAAACCAAATGTTTAGTTTTATTTCTTATGTTGCTTCTTTGTGGAAATTGCAACCGCTGGCAGCGTGGTGTAAAGTAAATAAAATAACTTCCAATGCTACTCTTAACGATTATATTGATTATATCAAGCTTTCCTACAGATGACGATCTTATTGAGCACTATAGCTCTAAATTACTGGATCCAATTCTAAACGCAATGGAAAGTGATGATGAGGGTTCGGTGGATGTGATTATTCATCAGCCTTCCAAGAATGAAATAGACTACTCATTCATAATTCTGAATTTATATTTGCAAACGCAAGATACTATAAGGGTTTGAATAAAGTGGAATCTCTTTTTACTGAAAATAAGAAAAAATTAAAGTCCCAAACCTTAATTTCGGAATATTTTACTTCACTGTAACTTCTATGCTTTATTTGATTGCGATGTGATTCTAAAAAAATTTTCTAACTCGAAGTCTCCATAAGTCGAACCTTTTCTTTGCAAAATTGGACTTCGACTTATGGAAATTTGAGTGTATATTTAAAATGAGTACTACGCGAAATAATAAACAACTAACTAAAATTTATGGAAATATAATAAAAATAAGGCGATAGAGTTTATACATTTCCAATCGGTAAATATTATCTTAAAATTGAATGAAGCTATTAGTCTAGACCTTGGGCATTTCTCGAAATTTATCGATGTTAAAAATTAAACTCCAATCTTACAATCATTTTGTTAGGTTTTTATTTAGTTAACTTAATATTACATAAATATACTACAATACCTATTAAATTTTTTGTTTTTATAAATTTAGTTTTACTTTAGTAAATTTTTTAATTTTTTTTTTTTAATTTTATTTTTATCTTATAGCGATTTACTGCAACATTACAGAGTGCATATGCAAAAAAAAATATTTTTTATATATAATCACAATTGTTTTTCATTAATTATTTACAAATTTCACGTTTTTAAATATTGTATTTAAAAGTACATAAGTTTTTTTTTTCATTAAACCAAGGATCTTTGTATATTTTTGCAGGTTTGCATCAAATTTTCAGTTGATAATTATATTATTTAAAATTGAATAATTATTACAATAACATTGCATTTACCATTTTTTACAAGATTTAAAAATGGTATATATAATAATATATACTCAAAGCAAATATCTTTCTTTTTAATACTGCAAATTTTTAAAGTGATCAACCAATTATTCTTTAAATATATGTAGTTTTCTTTCAAAAAAATTTTATATGCTATAAAATATATATTTCCACAAACACGCTATGCTAGACTATATATTTTAATAATTTATTTCTTTCACGACAAAAACAATTCCAGCCTTAATGTATTCATACTACCTACTACTGTATGCCGCAGCAGGTCCTCTAAATAAACAAATAAATCAATTCTTTCTCACTTCAGATATAAATTTTTTTCTTTTAACATACTTAAACTCATCATCATCAGATATCAGAAAGTATATATCATTTATGCAATATAAATACCGTGGAATTAAGCAGTGTTCTTGTGCCAACCTACATGCCTGGAGAGCTTCATTTACTATGTAAGCACTTATATAGTTGATATGTCTTTGATTATGAGCTCTCCAACAAAATTTCAAAACCTATATTCTTCAAACAAATTATTGAAAATTACTTTTGGAAGACTTAATATGAAAGTTTATTACATTGAATAAATACATTAAAAACATTTATTCCTCAATTTTAGTAATAGTTCTATAAAATTATAAGAACCAAGCAGGTACTTAAAAGTCTGAAAATATAATAAACTTAATAACAAATATTTTAACAATAAAATATTACGATTTCGAACTAAATTTATAATTAAATGAAATCAGTTTTAAACTACCTCATTCCGGACCACCTTGAATTCTTTGTGATCTTAGTTTATTGTAGAAAGCAAGATCCATCTCTTCTCTTATCGACACTACTTATACATACTCTACATATATGGTATTCTACATATGTATAAAGCAATTCAAAATTATTTTTCTTATTTTTCTTATTATTTTATGCATTTTTTATAAATGGTTATAAGCTCATCTTATAGTGTAAATTTAAAAAGTGTTAGTAATAGCCATTAAATCTAAAAAAACCTCCAAATTCTGTTGAATACATCTATGCAGCATTTACAAACTAAGCTTAGTCTGATTTAATAGTGAACATATACATATATTTTATGAGTTCCGTTTCAATCTATTATATATGGACTTATATCGTTTATCTTTTTAAACTACACAGCAAATATTTTCTTTGTGCTATTTTTTTTTTTATTTACAATGATTTCTGTATTTAAAACTATAAAAAACTTATACAATAAAAACCTATCGTAAGCAATATTGTATAGCAATATTATTTAAATAAAATAAGTTATAAGTTTTTTAAATTTTAATATGCTTTTTTTTGAAAACTGACTTCCAGATCGTTCTAAATTTATGAGGTTTTTCAAGTGCATATAATTAAACGAGAATTTTAGACCATGTGTCCAAAGCATCAGTTGATAATCCCAGTACATCTGAACCTAACCACAATCAAATTTAACAAAGACATTACATATTATTTTTGCACACCATATGTCTTAATTGAAGAAATTATGAAGAATAGTCAGTTGCTATTTTTAACAGCGATAAGAAAGAGTCTATCTATACCTTGATTCAGGTGGTAAATATTCAGTGCCCTTAGAGAAAATTCCTTTCTCCAACTAACAAGTTACATATAAAGTAAGTGTTAATATTCGCAGCAACAGGTGATCTTTAAACCTAACAAATTAAATGAATAAATCTTTGCCGAGCACAAAGATACGAATATATAAATTTCATTTTGTAAAGTCCATACAAAATTTTCAGGCTATATACGAAAAGTGTAAGATCAGCTGATAAGAAAAGAATTAGCTCCTTTCGAATGCTAGTCTAAAGGACAGATATGACTTAGTAAAGGAGTATTTCGATTCTAATATAGTTGAATAAATAGTGATCAGCAGTTTAATAATAACATATAAAGTTATTGATTTGTATATAAGAGTATAGAAAAACAATAATAAATATTAGCTTTTAACTTTACCACTATACCCTGCACACAAATGTATTAAAACTCAATTATTTACTATTAGCATCTTTAGCTAAATATTTAATTATGGTTCTAATTTTATAGCTTACATCCGAAAGTCAATGCGAACATATTATTAAAAATGCATATATATTTTAAGTATTTATTTGGAATTGTGTATCAAACAGTGTTATTAATGTGTCGACCTAATCTGTAAGGATTTACAAAAAGTTCCAACTCAATGTTTATTTGATTAGCTGGAAAACAGAGAGAGACACTAGTTCGTACGTTAATAGGCAGACTTACGAACAGCGTTAAAACAATGCATCGCGTCTGGGTTTGCTGATCAACATTATGTTTTAAAATATTTCAGACACATTTTTCACTGTCTTTATAAACTTAAAATATCCTCTTTACCCTAGTCGAATAGAATAACAAAGTGTGTACATTTCTTGAAATAAATTTTCTAGGAGAATATCTTTTTAGGAAGTAGTATCATTTTTAAGGTAGCAATAAACATTGTTATGTTAAGCTCTATAGACATTAAGCGAATATTTTGCTAGTGAGTTGGGTACTGTGCTCTTTTTACAATGAAAAAACAATAAAACAATATTTAATAATTTTTACTCTAAGTAACGTTGTCAACTTGATGAGCACTACTAGTCTTTTTGACACAATAAAATTTACATTCAAAATAGCTTGTTATTATTGTTGTAGCCCGTGATCTATAGAGCAAGAAACATGAAGTGAATTTTAAGACATATATATAAATAGGATAGCTGTTAGAAAAGGTAGACAAACCTGATATGAACGGAATTGTAAACAGCGTTAGTACAAGTAGGCGGAGAAGACAAAGAAAGGTAGTATGGGACAAGGAAGAGATATAGGTGTGAATGGATGCTACTTGAAATATAAATGCATAAAATATCTAATTAATAATAAATAAATAATTAATTTAATTAATAAATAACAATTAATTAATAATGCTATACAATTGCTTTATATTTAAACTATCTACTCATATTTTTGCAGAAATATTTAAATTATATTAAAACAAATCATATACATACATTTTACATAAACTTTAACTAATGAAGCACAAAAACATATATATTTATATTTTAGTGTATACAATTATGAGAACCATGTTTTTATAAATATTAACAAAAAGATTTTAGAGCGCATTTTTGCAAAATTTTGCAACATTTCAGTATTAACTTTACAATTACATTTTTGTAAATATTAAAACTAAACTATAATTATTATTATTAAAAATTTACAAATTAATTTAAATACTTTTTACATATATTAGTTTCTCATTTAATTCAAAAGCAATACTAAAAAATTACATTATCTAATAAACTATTAATTTGTTTAATAAAAACAATGCGCTGCTGATTTTCTTAAGCAAAAATTATGATTTACGTTTTGTTTTTATTGTATTTACTTCATTTCATTTTTCAATCTAATATTTTACATTAATACTATTTGAATATATATTTATAAGTTAGTTCATCACACATAATTTTTTCCAGAGAAAAAATATAATTTATAGATACTTTTTTTTATTTTAATTCTTTTTCTATGCTAACAAAGTTATTAATTTAAATTAATTACACCAAAGCTACGCACTGCGTTAGAGCTTGACATAATTTTCACTGCTCCATATTTTGCTCTAATCTGGACGATAAATCGGTGTTTTTGGTATAAATTCAATTAAGACAACATATTCCATCATTGAGTTGGAGTCACATTGTTGTTTATGCAGTCGCCAATGTAAACCGAGCTTATGGTAGAGGTGACTATTCTCCCATTCTAATAATTTGTCAAGAGTTATTTGAGTCTGAAAATAATTATAAAATATTATTCCAATTTTATGTCCATTATAATCTATTCTTCAACTAGTTTTTTGGTATGAGTGAATTAAAAAAAATAAGAAAATTAATATCGAAATATCATATATCAGAATATTGTTGGAAATAACATAGTTGTGACTTCAAGAGTAACCAAATCGATGTCGTGAAGTTACATGTATAAGATTACCAATCACAACTTATTTCCTATTTCTCCCAAGTGTATTTTAGTTTTTCTAAGAAAAGTATTTCAAATATGTTGTCCTCTATGCCAATGAGACATGGTGATCTACCTACAAGACCAACCAACTTGTTATAAGCAGTTTATAATGGTTACACTAGTAAGATCCAACAACATTCCACAATCCTGTGTTTATCATTAATAGCATATGATTGCCTCATGAAAACTATTCAACTCTAAACCAATCTACAAAAAGGCTGGTCTCCCTTGCAAATTCTATTTTATACTCACCCGTTTACTTAAGCAAATCACAGGCCAAAGTGAACAACCCAAGGTGCAGCAACAACAAACGCAACCACAAAACAACCATTTTACATTTACGGGTAAGGTTTTCTTCAAAATGCTATTGATACGTCCTAGAGTTGCCTTAAACTCTTCCGGCGCAACACGCGACATTAAACCAGATGGAAATTCTGTATTAAACCGATTACTAAGACCAAACCTGTAAAGACAAATATGTTTTTTATTAAACAATAAAAATTTAATTTATAAAAAGAAATAAAATAATAATTTATAAATTAATTTGTGATATATGTAAAAATAATATATAAATATAATTAATACTTAATAATAATAATATATTACTCGCTCAAAGTGTTCGAAAATTATGATGTTCGAACAGTATGATGTTCGAGTTTTTTAATGTTCGAATATTACGATCTGTGAGCCTCACAATGTGTGAGCTTTACAATTTTCGAGCATTACAATGTTCGAGTAAAACTGAATGGTAGATACTAACCTAGATACCTAGGGACCATCGCAGCTTTCGTTACCAATTATAGAAGATTTTAGAAGCTAATTTACTTGCTCTTTATTTATTATATATTACAACTTTCAATAATTCATTATTCTTTAAGAAATTATATAAATATGGATGGATGTTTTTGGTCCAAAATTCATACATTCAATTTTTAATAATGTTTATAAAAAGTGTAAATTCACATAATATACGTGTTTCCAAAGTATTTTTATATAATCTAATGCATTATGTGCCTTTTTTTAATTTAAAAAATTATAAAAAAAAATTTTTTTTATAAGTGGATAGCACCACATTGTGTTACCATGCAAAATTGTATAATTATAGTTTTGAGTGTTTTGCAAACCAACCCAAGAATTTTTGTCAAAAAACTCTAAAGAATGTGATCGACCAAACATTGAAACAAGGGCAGCTCTACTCCCCATGACGTCGCCTATCTGTTCTCCTGTCTTACAACGCACACAAACCTCTGTTTAATTGATCTTTGGACCCACCCCATTGAAGTGGGCAGGTTTCTCTATCTGGACCCAGGTTAATGTTTAATTGAATACCACCCATCCATTCTACCCCTTCTCATTTCCCCTTCCATCACCTGCTATCACTAACCACTCACTTCCCCACCCATATCATCGTCTTGTTTGTCCTTTTATGTTATCTGCGGGTTATTACAACAACATCATATTTACCTGATATTCCAAGTGTGAATTTTTTCTGTTGGCGAATCCAAAAGTAAAACTTTGAAAAAGAGTTTTTGAATCTATTGCGGCCATGAAAGAAAATACACTAAAGGAGCTAAAGAAGCTCCTTAATCTATTTATAAAAAATGTATTGAATATTGGGTCAAATGCATGCCATATTTGTATTACACTGTACGGGATCTACTTTGAAGACGATAAAATAAATATTGATTATTAATACTGTGTAGAAAGTATCCGGAATAATTTCATTTTTTTCTTATTTCAGCATAAAATACCGAAAAATAAACTTAGTCCAAATACCTATACTAGTTTTTAAATATTATAATTGACATATTGATTTATTCAAATTGTTTTGGTAGTTCTCTCGTTCTTGAAAAGTACTGTTTGGTTTGCCTTCCTTGTAAACTGTTAAACTGCTATGGAAATTGTTAGAGGTACTTAAACATCACTATGTGTTGTGAACACAGCCGCTCATCGAACCAATACTAATAATAAAAACCAATATTTTACTAGAGTTCGGACTAAACCGCGTCAATTCGTTACTAATAATATCAAATTTAGCTAAAATTTATCTGATATATTTTTACAATTTGAACTGCTTTATTAATAATTCTGTATTCCAGAAGTTATTACAAGCATTTCAACTAAAATAATTATCGTATAAATTTCCTGACTTATGAACCCCAGAAAATAAGAAATGAATTCTAAAGTATTTCTCTACAGATTGAACTAGATCAATAGTACTATAATAATTGAAAAATATATCTAACAACCTTATGTTCTTGATAGGGATATAAAATAAGCAATAATCATAAAATAATAAATTATCTTTTAATGTAAATAAATTGAACTTTGTCCTAATAATAAATAAATCTACATCTATTAAATATTTTTAGACATCTATTCACATTACCATACTTTTACTTAAAAACGCTTTAAATAATCTATAATATATTTAATAAATTTATTTATAATTTTCACAATGCACCTTTGTAACTAAATAAATTGATAGAAAGCAGATTTCAAATAAACAAAACTCATCTTTAATTTCGTTGCATCATTCAATACAATAATTACATCTGAATCACCACAAATCACAGATACTACATTGCGGTCGACAGCAACTGCATGGGAAGATACTGGTGTTATGAGGAACAAAAGTAAATTAATTATAATATTTATAATGAAATGATTTTTGTGAAACACGTATTTCAAGTGAATATTGAATATTTAGGTATGGACATTCAAAGTTCATATTATTTTTAGTCATGCAGTTTTTTCATTTATTTTTCATCTGACAACAGAAGAAATTTTAAACACTTTTCGCCTTTATATCCTCAACCTAACTACAGAGATAAACAATATCTTAAGTTTACCTTAAATATAAATATGAAGTTATATATTGAATTTTATTATTTTATGGAACTTGTTTAAGGCAAAGATTCAATGAAGGTAAAAAATGAGAGATTTCCAAATTTTAATGCGTTCCGCAAATCGCTATAAAGTATTTCTTGAGAACGTTTAAAAGATTTCGATATAATTCCTTGGTCTTAGAAAAAATCAATCATATTAATTCTTATCTAAAGTCTCAACAGTTAAAGTAAGGAACGAACTAGTTCTTTAACTGAAACAACAATTCTAGAAGTTGGCCAACAAAAGTAACAAAATCTGAAAGGTTTCTAAACAATTATGCTAAAAGATTAATAGTTGTGTTAGAACAATAATAGTATTTTGAAATAATAAGGTCTGAACTTGCTAACAAGATAAACCTATTAAATGCAAATAAATAAATATCTATATCATGGATAATAGTGATATGATAATTTATATCATATTAAACTCTGTCATGCATGCATCATTTATCATATAATACATCATATAATATCAGAACAGTATAAATACAGTATAACTTTCATAATTCGAATTGGCAAAGTTCGAAATTTCTCAACTTCATCATAATTGTTTGTTCCCTTCCCTAATGGAGACATTAGCGTCCACAATTTCTGTTATAAACCTATTATAATTTTTGATTAATTATTTTATTGAAAGATACCAACTATAAAAGTATTAAAATTTCTTGTTTTAGCTTCTGAGACTATAATAATTCAACTACTTTAATAAAGTGAAAAAGTAGAGGTCTGGACGCATATCGAAAATCTCAAAACCTTGGCTTGAAATGATAACATAAAAGAGACCCTCCTCGAAGTAATAAGTCTCGCCGAAGAGAGAATGTTTTAGTCCTTATACTACATATAAATGTTAGGAAGTCGGGCACACCATTCCGACGACATTCGATTTGACGGTGCATAAAGCATTTCACCTCCTCTCCACAAAACAAAAAAAAAATCTACTTTAATATAAACTATTTGAAAGAAGACCTAATAAAAAATGTTTCCTATGAATAATGTGTATGTGCATTTATTGACAATTAAGCCCAATTTATATATAATAAAAACATAAATTTTTATTTGTCCTTGTACAATTAAATTGGAACCAAGCATTTTGTAATAAAATAATTAACACAAAATTTAAAAGATGAATTATAAAAACGTAAAAGATTGGTTTTTAATTTTTGATGAATTTTGTTTTCTTGTAAAAATATATAAATATATATTCAATATATGATAATTGTACTGATAGTACGATTATATACTTTGAAATATTTCAGAATCAAATATTAATCGCAGTTATATAGTATGACTCTAGATGGTTTTAAACCCTGAGTTATTCGTATATATACGGTAACACAATGGGCCAATAGGCTTAAGTGGATCCTCTAGGGAACCTAACCTAACCTTAATAATATGACAAATCGCGTATGCAATTAAGAAGAATTTTTATGAGATGAATCCTAAATAAAGATTTTATAAAATTTTAGAACTATTAGATATGAAAAATATAGTTTTGAAAAACAATTTTTAAAAGTGAATTAATAAGTATAAAGTATAATTAAAGTATAATTAATTTAACTGAACAAATTAAATGTTTTAAAATATTTTTAAGGCAAGGAAGAAGACCATAAAAGTAGTATAATGTAGAATAATTTCAAAAAGATGTAATATCTGTCCGTTTATATATTAATTTGTTTCATCACAAATTCTTCTTACATTTTTAAAATAATTAAATGAAATCTTCTAGATTTTCTAGTAAGAATCTTTAGAAATTTTAAAAATGACCATAGCTAATTGACAATATTCCATAGCTGCAATTAAACAAAACGCGTTTTTAAGTATTAGTTATTTAAAAAGGTACTATATAAATATTTGATATATAATAGTAGTTCAAAGTACTCTAGATTTACAATTCTAGTGAAGTTCGATTTACTTAAATACGAACATTTGAAACGGACACGTCAAATGTTCAAAAATCCTCGAAATGCTCCAAGATATTCAGATTACTCGAATATCTTTGTTTTATACAAATATATATAAGAGCTAATACTGGAGCATAATATACTGTTTGAACATTCGAGCATAAACTTAATCAAACATCAAAATGTTCGAAGGTTCGAAAGGCTCAAATAATATTAGAAACACTAATATATAATTATAGTATCTAATACTATTATAGAATTTTATTTAGATAAGATCAGATTTATAGCCAACCTACAATTAAACAACAGGCGATGGCTACAGTAACTAGCGACTTTGACCAATTATACTGACTACAGTAACTCAATCATACTCAGCAATACTGGATTGCAAATGCTCAATTATACTTTTAACATCACTTTTTTTAACATTTTTAATCACTGTTATCAGCGATTGTTACTCAATTGTAAGATCGGTATTAGATGTAGATAACATAAAAACGAAATGTTTAGGTATATATTTTTATTGGAAAAGTTCTATTATTTTTCAAATTAGTTTCATCAAATTAGAACTTAAAGATTGGAACCTTTTAAACATACCATCATTAATGATATATGATAAATCGATAGAAATCTAGTGGTTCATATACAAATGATAAACTCTAGTACCTATCAATGCATTACCACAAACTTTGATATTTAAACAATATTATGTGGTTATTACTGTACAGGCAAATGTTTTATATATATGTTTTTATAAGAAAATAGTTTTTATTATACTTAATACGAGAATATATAGTTCCCTAATTCCGACGTTTATCTAATTATTTTATAAACATACTTTTGACTAAAAAGTATAAAAAGGAATATCAATCTATTAATAGTATAAATCAATTTGAACGGTAGTTCCCTTCTCTGCTCACTCATATGTACTCAGGACCCAAATGATATACCATTTAAACTAAGTGGATAACGAACTACTCAGTAGAAACACTGATTACTGCTAGGCCGTGTGCGAGTTCGAGTAAATTGATTGATGGTGAATTGAAGGAAATAGTAAATTATGTCGGTATGGCAGCGAATATTGGTATTTACCAGAATTTCGAATAAGGTAAATTAGATAAAAATAAGATAAATTAGGTGTTACCATTGTGAAAATTTTATAGATGTTTAATAAATAAATTTGAAAACTTTTAATCAAAAATAATAAATAAGTGCAATAAATAAATAAATAAATATTTACATAAGAGCTGTGCAAAAAATCCCTAGGAAATTTCAATTTACTTTACCTCAATTGACTCGAACTCGTACACGGCCATAATGTGTTAATATAAATGATACGGCAGGGGATTAATTATTTAAAGACCTTTTAATAAGAAATCTAGCTAATCATTGAATACTGCTTCTATACTTCTAATCATTGAATACTATAATTTGCGTATTACATATTCAACTCTTTATTGTAAATATATAGATAAGAATTTTAATTTTACTAAAAAATTTTCTTATTTTTAGTTTTAATCTTATGTTTATTTAATGCAAGAGAATGTGTCACTTTTATTATTAAAACTGCTAAAATGACGACATGTGATAAGCTCTTCAAGCTTTCAAAATGCTACATTGGAAAGATTTTGTTTGTAAAAACATTTCAATTTTGTAAATATTTGCTCTGATCATTTGTTTAGCATTTATTAAGTATCTAAATGAGTATATATTCAAATATGAATAGAACGAACGCCCAAACGAATAGGTTAAATGGACGATTGCAAGAAAAGGGGTTCAACGACGTTCGTTCACATGAACGTAAATTCAAATCTTGTCAAATATTTTTTTATTATTTTGATAAATTTAATTTTAGAATTTAATTCGCTAAATATTCCAAGAAATTACTCAGAATTGAACTTAATCTACCATAATTTCAAACAAGTAAAATTTTGATAAACAATTGCCAACTACACTATATGTATCTTTGTACATTTAAGAAATATTTTATAGGCGAGAATCGTCAAGCCCATAAATTTAAACTGACAAACTTTAGATAAGGATGTCAAATCGAGGGAACATTTCAAGTATTAAAAGTTACATTATATAACCTTATTTTAATAATCATCTACAACGAATCTTTTCACCGATTTTAAATGCCAAATAACGACATATCTAACGCGACTAATAACTCTATAGCAAATGACCTAGAAAAACAACGATGATATACTATTAATAAGGTATAAAATAGCAATAATCTTCGATGGGGGAGTTAAATCTTTTAGAATTATAATAGAATACAATTTAATCCATATATCAGGGCTGTCCAAAGCACTGCCCACGGGTATCATACAGCCCCTGACTAATAGGCAAATTTTTTTTTGTTAAATTTTAGTAACATTATATTATTTTATTTTTATGGTATCCCAAATAAGTGAATTATACTATTATAATTTAGTATATACTATGAATTATACTAAATAATTTATTACACTTGACGTTAATTAACTTAGTTGACAAAGACTTTAGTATATATTTCTTTGTACAACGGGTTCAAAAAACTGTGTATCCTGTGCCGTAAATCATTACATATAATAATATAATATTTATAATGCTGATATTGATAGATGAGGAATTATTAAAATTAAGTTTAATATTATTGCCGCATTTTTATTTTTCTCCGGAAAAATTATGAACGTAAGTATTTATTTCTGCGACCCTCCCACCTATTCAGTGATTTGAATAAACCCGCGGTCTTATCTGGTCTGGACAGCCCTACCATATAGGATTCAAATTATTGATGTTTTTACGAATGTAGAGGTAACCAGTTTTTAGTTTTGATGAGATAATCTTCTTATGTCTTGTTTTAAATATTAAAAGACAGAGTTTTAAAATGTTTTTGAATTACCTTATCCAAAAACTTATGAAAAAAAATAAATATGAATTAAAAAAATATCTATCTCAAACACAAACAAATCTATACTAAAGAATTCTCTAACGCACATTCAAAATTAATAGACAACTGCAAGAAAAAGAATTCAGCGACATTCGGTATATTGAAATCAAATCTTATCAATAATATTTTTCATACTAACAGTTTTTCTTATAGGAAAAGCTTTTCTTTAATTATTAGTTGGAATATTGTCTATAACTATAATGCTTAGGGTTCAGGTATCCAACATCCAATATCCATCATCTATCATACTATTATCATTATTATTATTATGACATATTCTTCAATATAAAATTAAATATAGAACTTAGTCTATTCACAGATTTGTTGTTATAAAATTTTCCATTCGTCTCTGTTTCTGGCAGAGTTATTCAAAAAATATTCTCTTTAAAGAATATCTCTTTAACACAATATATTCTAACATCGTGTTGAAACAAACAAGCTTTATGAATCAACAGGGCTCGATCGATACATTTCGTAATTAGAATATAGCGACTTCAAAAGGTCAGATATATCTTTTACTACGTTAGAAATATCTTTTAAAACCGTAATGTCTCTTTAACACAAGAAGTGCAATGACATATAAAAACCACTCATTTTAATTAAAAAATGAAATAAGTAGATTGCTTGTCTTGCAAATTATTTAAACGGCATGATGCCACAAATTGATATTCTAAAAGTACCAAGAGAAGCACAGTCTCGGAAACAAACATCTCGGATATAGAACACTTCCAGAACAGGTTCGTCATAGTTATCAAGAAGGTAAGCACATTTGTTAACAAAAGCTTGTGTACGGGAAAGAAAACATTTGGGTTAGAAACAAAAAATATTTATATATGAATCAGAAAAAAATATTTGAGTTTTTAATCAAAACTTTTCTTTAGCATACACAACCTTCACGATTAGTTCACTATAGCATTATTTCTGCATTTTCTGTAGTCTGTGTCTGTTAATTCTGCACATTTACAATATGCACCTAAAAAGCGTATAAAATTTAAATTTACCTTGAAACGAATTTTGTGCATTAAATTACGTCAAAAGACCAACAAAAAAATTGCAGCAATTAAAATTTAAAAAAATAAAATTATTTAATGGATACATTTAAATATTTGCCGATTCCAATTCGAATTTTGTGAAGTATGAGAAAATACACTTACACTGTCATGTTACCAGCACCTCGTATTACTATAGGATCCGGAACTGGAGCCACAGTTTGATCCTCGAAATGTTCCTCCAGCTGTTCATCTTCATAAATTGCATCGAAGTCTGCCATTGACATTGGTAAATTACGAAGCGTAATTTTTGCAAAATTTAATTTTTCTCAAAAATATGTAATAACGCTTCAGCAAACAATTACGCGCTGTCGAGTTAGATCAACACATATTTTGCATAGTTTAACAATTTTATTATTATAATTTTTATTTTAAAATATTGCATTGATTTCGAGGTTGACTTTGTTGTATTTTCTGTTACAATTTTTTCTCACTACTCTTATTTCAAAAAGCATATTATAATAAAAAATGTATTCAATTATATTGACATATATCTTTTGATTGCTCGAAATGTTATAGCATCACTTCCACTGTTCCATGTAAATATGTTGTAATAAAAATATTTATTTTATAAAATTTTAACAAAAGGAATACAAATATTGTTAGACCTGCTGGCGCAGGAGAGTGACAGTTTAAAAAGAAACAAAAATAAGAGTTTCATTGAAAATAACAGAGAGTATGTAAATAGAACACTATTGTGAATTATTAATTAGTTGTGTTATTTTGTTGTTGCTACACCAAAAGCAATAGTTCCCGTCCAACAAAGAAAACTTATGATGCACAATCTATTTTGTACATACTTATATATATTTTTATAGAAATTTAATTTATTTAAGCAATGTAATGTAGATATTAAATATATTTTTATATATAGAACACTTAAAACTTATGCATGATTGCAAACTTTTCCACACTTTATTCTTGTGTAACGCATTATTTCGCAATCGACATTTTTTGAGGTAAGAATTTACAATACAATTTATCTCAATTAAATTATATTATTTACGTTTTAGATATCAAGGTTTTAAAATTTAATTATATTATATAAGCATTATACACCACACAATGTAACACAACAAACTTTTAAAGTTTTTTTATTAAAACTAATTTCGTGGAAATCTTTAGTGCTGGTCGATTTTGTAATTTAACATATCTGCACAGCAAATGCAGAAAGTAAACCATGAGAGCTGCTTGTTTTACTCTCTCTTTATTATTCTTTTTTTTAATAACGTGACGACAATGCACGTTCACAATAGTATTATTTTAAATTTCAATATTTCAAATTTTTCATTTTCAAAATGGACCTTTCATTGTAATAGCATTTATTATAATAAATGAATAATACTATGTTCAGACAGCCAAATTTCCTTAATTTCGTTAAAATGAAATTAGGTTTATTTGAAAAGTGTTCATACTTTCCCAAAATAAGAAAATCATATATTTTTTGTTTGCAAATCTTATGTTACATGCTCAAAACATCATTCAAATGTACGAAATTTTAAAAGTGGTTATTATAACTACAAAGAATAGCAATCAGTTGTTTTATTAGCTTTAGTAGTTTTCCGGTAATAACAGTTACAGTTTTGTTCGCTAATTATTTGCACTACCTTCAAAATAATTTCCCCGTTTTATTAAAGTTAGTTGTTTTAAAAAATAAATGTCACTTTTTCGTTATCTCAACTCAACTTTTGCTTAAAATTTATCTGTCGCACAGTATCATTTCAAATTTCCCCAAAAGAAGCCTGAAATTCTTTTCTAATTAAGACAATTTTCTTTAATTTTGTTCTAACCTTATAATTAAATTTTGTATGGAAAAATAACAGTTTCGCTAAAACGAAGCCGAAATTAAGATTTATGCGAAATTTAAGTGTGTCTGATTATAGTACAAGATATAATTAATTTATTAAGTTGTAAACAATTGCAGCTGAAATAAGAATTTCAATTAATTACAATAAAACGCATCAATTGCTGCAACACGATAAGGAATAATTTATTTTTTTTACTGAAGAATTTTCAATCGCTCTTATTTAAAACCTATCAGTAAGTTTTAAAATCTTAAACACTAATAACATAAAATTACAAATTATTTTATATAAACATATTACAATGAATTCTAAAATGAATTCTTTATTATTTTAAGGGGCCTCTGTAGCCAGAGCTAATTTACACAATTGGTATGACGGCGCATAAGTAATAAATGATGCGCAATTGTTCTTGCAGATTTATTGTAATTCTAGATTTTTTTCTAGTTGAATTGAACACGGAAGGTATTAAGCAAATCTAATTAATATATTGAGTTGTTTTAATCTTTGAAATTTTTGTTTACGTTTTGCAAAATTTGTGGTGTTTTCGATTTCTTCTTTTTCGCGGTTACTAACGATAGACGCATTAGTATATATATAAAGATATATGTCATGGAGGTGTTTTTTTTATATAAATGGAGTATTCAAGAATGTGTACCAAAAGAGGCTACTTTAAGCTGTCTTGGAACTTAAGAATTGATAATGCTGTTTTACTTTAGATTACAAGTCTTCTTAGCTGTAGAAAGATGAAGAAACTTCCCAAAGAGGTGTTCTACCATTACTAAATTTAATGGCAAATCTCCAAAACCAGTAAAGTGCTATTTTACCTATTAGGTTTATTAACCACTAGTTTGGGTTTGAATTTGATATAATTTATTTTTTGGCATTTACACAGTCCAAAAATTATATGTGCACAATTAAAACAAGAGATCTTTACAAAATACACTGCTGTTTGAACAAGCTTAATGATTTTTTCGAAAATTCACTTCAATTTAAAAATTTCCTCAATATTGCTCCTTTTCTAGTCAAAATAGATTTCTTATCATAGAACATAAAAATTTTAATTAAAATTATTTATGCAAAATGTTATTATTTTAAAAATATATACAAGTTATTACTGATATATATAAAAATAAAAAATAATATATATAAATGTAAAATAATCAATAATAAATATTGTATTTTTTACGTCAATAAGGAAATCAAAAGTATATAATATTAATTATATTTATTAATTATATATTTAATTATTTGCCGACCATCAACCACAAATGTTAAAGTTAATGTTAAAATGTTAAAAATAACAGTTTTTTAACAGCTATTAGATCTGTTGAATAATCTCAATGGCTCTGAATATACGAGATTAAGCGCGAGTGTTACCAACTTTATATAATATTTTGTGTGAATAAAAATATTTTCGTATGCACAAAATACTCCTCTATTTGTTAGTGACGTATCAAAATTTAAAAACAAAAAATATTACATTGCAGACAAAATAAAAATTATATTAGCATTGTTATTGTATTTGTTTTTATTTCATAACATTAGATGTATAAATATTTTCTTATATTTTTTAATTATTTATAAAACACAAACACTGATTCTACTTACCATTCCTTCCGGTTTACTAGTCAAAACACAAATAATAAACTGATATAAAAATTTTGTATGTACATATGTATATTGTTCATGCTCGAACATTTATCTACGTCTCGCGAATTTACCAGGTGAAATAATTCTCACTTTTTACTTTTGTTCTACAAATATTTTGCGCTTAGGCAAAACTAAACTAAACTACAAACCCACGTTTAAATTGCGATAAATTTAATATTAAGATTAAGATTATAGTAAAATAACATAGAAAATATAATGAAGAGTCCGATTAGCGCTGAAATGTTTTGTTCTTGTCATCAGTGCATAGCTATATAATAATTATGGTATGAATTATAAAAATTTAATGCCAGAATATCACAATGGAGTCGAAATACCAAATTTCTTATATATGACATACAGGGTTATACCGAAAAGTTTTTACAGTCCTATAAAGGTTATTAAAATCATTTAGAAGATACCAACTGACGTAAAGCAACTCCTCTTGACAAAAATGTTGTAATTTCCATATATACATTAGGATCGTCGGGCAAATATAAAATAGTTTGTTAGTTATTCGTTATTGGCAAATTAAATATACGCACTATTGAATTGGAGCTCTCCAATCTTATATATGGCACTCAAAAATATGAAAAATATCCATTAACACAGAAAACAGTAACAGTTTTTCATAACGTTTAGAAGTTCTTGCTATCTTGTTAATATATAAAGATAGTTAAAAAATAATTAATTAATTAAATTTAGATGTATGTTATGTTATATTGTATTAGATGTTACATTGGCGAAAATCTTTCTAAAAGTATTGGTGTTGACGACATTGGCAATAATTTTTTGAGACCATGTTAGCAATAAGCACACTGATAAAGGACTTTTTAGTATTGTTGGTGATAAACATTGACAGGATTTTTTATCAATGTTGACAGAGGTGATACTGGCCGTACATCGGCATAAGTTTGCATTTCCTTTTTCAGATAATCCCTATAAGAATTTATATGTAAAATGTTAAAAAAACTGTTTAACAATTATAAACATACCAAAAATATTTACCATCGATGCTTTTTACTCGTCACTGTTCAAGAATGATCCTGCCAATGGGGTACGCAATATTTTTTTAATCATATATTTCTGAGAAATACTTCAGAATTTAATGCTAAACGTTTATTCGGATATATGTCCAATAAAAGCGGGCGTTCCACAGGGTAGCATTCTTGGCTCGTTATTATATCTTTTGTATACAAACGATATTCATGGTTTAAATAATACAATAGTTGCAACTTTTGCAGACGATACGGCTCTACAGTCCGTGGAAGACACCGAAACAATTGCAACAAGGAACCTTCAAGCCGCTCTCAACCACGTGCTAGAGGTGGGTTAATATATAGAAAATAAAATTGAATACCTTAAAAACTGTACATGTTGCGTTTACATACAAGCAAATTAAAAATATACCTCTGTATATTGTTGGTCAACAAATTCCATACGCAAATACAGCTAAATACTTGGGCATGACGTCAAAAAAAAAAATATCATGAACTAAATCTTAAGTTTAACTCAATTAAGTGGCTATTTGGACGACATTCCGTTATGTCAATCGAAAATAAGCTAATAATATACAAGCAGGTACTGCGTAAAATTTGGCCCTACGGATCTCAACTCTGGGGTTGCACATCTGAGTCAAATAGGCAAATAATACAGCGATATCAAAACAACATCCTAAGAAGAATTACCAATGCTCTATGGTATATCCGTAACAGCGACCTTCATTGTGACTTGCATGTTCCGAGTTCCTGAAATAATCACGCTTCAGGCCGAAGCATATAAAAAAAGACTTGAAGTTCACTGCAACACATAAGCTTCATCACTCCTTCAAATAGAAGAACTCGTACGACGGCTTACGAGAACCAAACCGTCTAATTTAATTAATTATATTAAATATTGATCATTATTATAATAATTTGTTATCGGGCTAAATTTAAATAGAAATAAAAAAGACACTAATTTATTATTTATATTTAAAAATCGTTTATACTTTATTAAAAATAATTCTTCCAATATTTCGACTATCTTCGATAGTCATCTGCAGGGAAAACTAAACAAAATATACGATGTTCCATTTTTATAGCGAAACCATTAATTAATCATTATACTATAATATTATAGATAAGGATTAATATCGACAATTTTAAATCCCCGATATAAAACCATTGCTAATTAGTTTTTTTTAATGTAATGACATTTAAATCCTCCAATGGCTTGTTTTGCACTATTATAGTACACTCACGCAGATGGGGAACCACTGGAATGACTTTTTGGTGCAAGTAAGAGTTTACTTCATTTAAAGCTAATTTAAAATAAATTAATTTTATCTTCATTTGTTTTGGAATGAAATGAACT